CCCAACACCCCGCCCTCGCCCTCCCTTCCTCTTCCTTCTTTCGCTTTCGCGCGCCCAGCGACTGCTCGCGCCTGCTAGAAGGGCCCGAGCGCGTGCATCTGCCCCGCGGCCGCAGCTCGGCAGCATTTGCTCCAGGGGGCGGGGACCGGGAGGGGAGGAGGGGCGCCACGCCGCCGTCCAAAGTACCGGCGGACGGGGACGGGGGCGGAGAGATGGGCGGGGCCTTCGCGGACCTCACCGGCCAATCGCCGGGAGGCCTCGGTCCGTGAGGCCCAATAGGATAGGGGTGGGTGGGGCGGCGTTCAAGGTGAGGTGCGCGGTGCGCTGGGGGCGGAGACGTTGTGTCGTCCCGGCCGGCTCGGGGGCGGGGGCAGCGGGTGGCGTCGAAAGAGAGCGCCGGCTCCCAGCCGAGCCTGGGACGCCTTCCGGCCCAGGCTTCCCCGCCCTTCCCTCGGGGCTCCCCGCTCTTTCCCCCCACCCTCCGCTCCCCCCTTTACCCCAAGGCGTGCAGCCACTTCTGTGAAGAGGCCAGACGTGAAGTGGGGCGCAGTTAGGACCTCAGGGTGGAAATCCCGTGGAGCCGAAGGGGCTCGCCCGCGCCTCAGTTCTCCCGGTTTCTGGGCGGGTCTCAGCCCACTCCCGGCCTGCGGACCAACAAGCGCCCGAGATGAGGGTCTGCTGCTGAGAGCGGAGGCCGAGCTGCGCCCTTCTGCTTCGAGCGCCCTCCCCGCCCCTCATCCTAATTTAGATCGCACACCTGCTTGCCTTTCCTGCTTCCGGAACCCACGCTGGACCCCCCACCTCTCAGATGCCTGCTGGCACTGGCCAGATCCTTCCCCCCAGTGTTGTTCCCTTGGGTGCAGCGTGTCCGTGTGCTCACGCTCTCAGTCCCTTCTTTACCTTAGGTAGGAGCGAGCCTTTTCCCAGTCGCGGTGGATGGCTGGATTGGCGCGTTCATCTCGATTACTCTCTGTGTCTGGCGTCCTGGAACGGTTGTGTGACAGCCCTCTCCCCTCAAAAGATAAGATTAGAGGAGGATAGCCTGAAATCACAGACTTGGGGCCATCTTTGGCTTTTAGTTTTCAGCATTTCTTTCTTTCTCACCGATTTCTCCTGAGAAACACCAAACATTTATTGAGGCGATATTCCAGAGTAGTTAAAATCAGGCATCTGATTTGAATTTAAATCGTTGGACCTAGCAAATGAGTTTCCTGTGCCTCAGTTTCCTCTATTGTCAGTGGGCATAAAGAGTCCTGTCTCATTGGGTTGCTGTGGTGATTAACAAGTCAGTGCATGTGAAACTCTTAGCTCTGTGTAAGTGCTTGGTAAATCTTAGCTGTTATTCTTACAGTGCTCCAGGTGCTGGGATAAAAGATGATATAAGACAGTTGTGCTGCTTCAAGAAGTTCACAGTCTTGTGGGGTAGACAGACAGGTAGGATAATAATTGCAAAATAGTGTGACAAAAACAAGAGAGATACAGAGAGAACAGAGGTAGCCAGGAGACATCAGATGATGTAAGAGAGTTGGTCAAGAAAGGCTTCTTGGGCCAGGCGCAGTGGCTCATGCCTGTAATCCCAACACTTTGGGAGGCTGACAAGGGCAGATCGTCTCAGGTCAGCAGTTAAGACCAGCCTGGCCAACGAGGTAAAACCCCATCTGTACTAAAAATGCAAAAATTAGCTGGGTGTGGTGGCGGGTACCTATAATCCCAGGTACTTGGGAGGCTGAGGTAGGAGAATTGCTTGAACCCAGGAGATGGAGGTTGCAGTGAGCCGAGATCACACCACTGCACTCTGGCCTGGACAACAGAGCAAGACTCCATCTCAAAACAAAATAAACAAAAAGGCTTCTTATAGTGGGAGATGAACCAGGTGAAGGTAGGCCAGGAAGGCATTGGACATACCCAACCAGAAGCTTCAGAAGCATGGATCAAGCTGGAACAGAGGCATGGGTGGCAGAGCAGCAGGAGGTGAACAGACCAGATCATACAGGACAAAACAGGTGCTGGAAAGTTTATGGGCTTTAACCTGTAAGCCATGAGAAGTCCTCAAGGGGAATCATTCACCAGACTTATATTTTTAGTAGATCACACTGGAGTGTGGTCTGGAGAATAACTTAGAAGCAGTAGCGTTTTTTGTTTGTTTGTTTTTGTTTTTTTAAGACAGTGCCTTGTTCTAGAGTGCCTTGCTCCGTCACCCAGGCTGGAGTGCAGTGGCACGATCTTGGCTCACTGCAACCTCCTCCTCCCGGGTTCAAGCAATTCTCCTGCCTCAGCCTCCTGAGTGGCCAGGACTACAAGCCCCTGCCACCATGCCTTGGCTAATTTTTGTTTTCTATTTTTAGTAGAGACAGGGTTTCACCATGTTGGCCAGGCTGGTCTCAAACTTCTGACCTTAGGTGATCCACCCGCCTCGACCTCACAAAATGCCGGCATTACAGACATGAGCCATTGTGCCTGGCCAAAAGCAGGTTTTTGTTATTGATTGAAGTGTGTGGAGGAAAGGAGAGGGGGGTTTCAAAAACACCTTTAGGATGAGGAACTCAGGGGAGGACACAGGTTGATTTCAGTCTGGGGTATATTGAGGTTACTGTGAGATCAGCTAATGGTGACATGAAAGGTGATTGAACTTAGATCTGGCACAGAGAAGTAAGGTAGGCCTTCAGGAACTTCAACAGCATAGCTCAGCCTTCCTTTTATCTCCCACCTCCTTTTCAGGAATTCTTCACTCCAGTGATGCTGATCTGTTTCTTACCTAAATATGCCCAGTACATTCTGCCCTAAGGAATTTGCACATGCCCGGAAAATCCTCCTGGCTTCTCCCTGTTTACCTTTATCCTTCCTCATATCCCCACCCATGGCCATCCTTATACCGAACTTCTTTACAGCCAGACTGTACTATTCATTCTGTACTTGGCCTGGGCTGCTCTGTGGTGGTAACCTCTTTGGGCACATGCCCAGTCTCCACAGTTAGCACCAGTTAATAAACACTAGGGCCTGAGCTGGTCCTGACTCTGGGTGAGGTCCTGGGGTTACAGCAACAAGCAAGAGAGACACACAGACCTTGTCCTAGTGCAGCTTACAGTCTAGCAAGGCCTGATGTGAAGGCATTAGGCTGCTGAAGAAACATATAGTATGGAGACCCTTTTTCTCAGGAGCTCAGGGAAGGAAGTGGCCTTTTAAGTGGAGCCCTGGATTAACTAGGCAGGGAGAACACCATGTGTACATGCCCTGGGAGAAAGCATGTTATGTTTGAGACATGAATGGCCTGTGTGGCTAGAGTTTGAGCAGGGTCTAACAGTGGCAGCAGATCCCCTAGGGCGTTGTGGGCCAGACTTATTCACCCACTCAACAAATCTTTCTTGGGTGTCAAATGTGTATCAGGCAGTTTCAGGTGCTGAGATTACTGTAATGAACAAGCAGATAAGGTGTCTTCTACTTGGAGAGATAGATAATAAACAAATACATAAACAAGAAGATGGAGGAGGCCTCTCCAGGGCGGGTGGTTGGGAAAGGCTTCTCTGTGAGATGACATGTGAGCTGAGGCCTAAAGGATGAAAAAAAAAATCAAGTATGTGTAGAGTTGGATGAATAGCCATTCTGGGCAGAGAGAACAAGTGCCAAGACCCTGCGGTAGGCGTGTTTGAGGAACAGAAGAGATCACTTGGCTGGATCATTGTGAGGGTTTGGGAAGCATAGGGCAAGAGAAGATGAGAGAAGGAAGGCAGGGGCCGAGCCTCGTAGGGTCATGGTAAGACACGGGGTAAATCTTCAGTACAAAAGAATCAGTTTTATTTTTAAGGTAACTTTGGCTGTCATGTGAAGAATGGGCTGTAGAGGGCGAGAGTGCAAGCAGGAAGACCAGCTTTAGGAGGTCTTTGCAGAAGTTGAGCAATGATGGTGGCCTTAAATAGGATGGGAGTGGCAGCTGTGGGAGCTAACCTGTGGGAGGGATAGACAGATTTGAGACAGCTTTAGGAAGTGAAATGGAGAGGTCTAGGGTGGAGGTGAAAGGGAGAGAGGAGTCAAGGCTAATACCCTGGTTTCTAGGTTGAATGACTAAGTGTTTGGTAATCATGGTGGGTCTTGAGGTATGAGATCCCTGCAGGATATCCCAGAGGATGTATGGGTGTCTACACAGCTCTGCAGCTTGGAAGAGCAGTCTCTGTCTGCACCACCTTTTGGAATGGTTGCATATGGGTGATAATGGGAAGTTGAAGGAGAGACATGAACACCCAGGATGAAATGAGGAAGAGCTGACACCAGCAGAGTAGACTAAGAAGGCAAAAGACAGACAAGTGTTCACCAGATGTAATGAACATGTTGGTGACCTTATTGAAGAGCCTTGGGGAATGGTGGTAAGTGGGAGGCCAAGAGGCACAGCAAGCTTTTTAGAAGTTTGACCAGTAGAGAATAGGGGTGAGGGTTGGGAGAGAGCTCTTGGACAGGGCCTGGGTCTGCAGCCCTTTGAGGTTCCAGGAACCCAGCCAAGGCCTGCATAGGGTAGGATGTCTTCCTTAATCTCAGAGAGTGAGTCATCTCAGCCCAGCCCAGCCCACTTCCCATCAGAGGCCTAGATGTTCTTAGGAATGTCATCCTTAACCCTTAACCCGGGGTGGAACTGAAGACTCAAAGTGGGAAAGTGCCACCTCAACCAGGCGATACACCCTGCACTAGGAAGGCTTGCGTACCCAGGGCGAACCCTTGACCTCCAATTTGCTAAGACCATGTATTCTGGGTGAAAATGCATTTGTTCTCCAACTTCTCAGAGTCTTTAGTGGTCTGACAAGCCAGGGTGAACAAATGGAATTGAGGAAAGGGCAAGAACAGTAGCACAGAACAATGTGTAGGTAGGCTGCCTATGGAATCTTTAGGAAAGAGGAAGATAGTTCTAGAAAGAAAGGGCACATTGGCTTCAAGCATTTTTATTTATCAAACCTGTTGGGTCACCCCTGTGAACTACATCACCTTCATGGATTCCAGTGATCAGACAGCAGTCAAACCTTTGTTTTTTACTTTATTATACAAAAAAGGGAAAACAAAACTTCCACAGTTGGCCTTAAGCATAGGCAGACACTTCTAAGCCATTCCCTCCCACCTCCCATGATACAAATTCAAGTTGTGGTTGTTGTTGAAACCTACAAAACACTCCTTAAATATTAGAAAAAAAGTGGAGGGGGGGGACGGGGATCTTCCCACCCCAGCCATCCCATCCCAGTGCCAAAATGCACTCAAGAGTGACCTCTTACAGCACCAACACCCCCACCCTGACAGCCCTGTTTGTACTGTAAGAATTTTTCAATTTTTAAAACAGGAAAGAAAAAGTGCCCCAAAGTTGTTTTTAAATGAAAATACATTCCACTGAAACACAACAGTGTAGGAGCATCTAAATAAGAAACTGGGGTTCTTTGCAGGGCTCTTGGGAAGAAATAGAACCTATAAACCCCTGTACTTAATTCCAGGATTAGGATAAAGGGGAATGGGAGTGGGGAGTGTCCCCCCCAGGCCTCCCCACCCCCAGCACCAAGGTCCAAGGCAAAGCAGAGATTGTCTGCCTGCCTTTGGGAGAGGGACCCACCCGCCTCTCCTTTCCTTCGCCGTTCCTGCCCCACCTCCTCGGCAAAGTTCCCATTCTTCCCCCATTCCTTGGCTTTCATTTAGAGGGGACGGTGGAAAAGCACCAAGCCCCAATTTAATAGGTCATTGACATGATCATAAAAAAAAGAACCCCCCCCCGCAATATAGTCAATCAAAAAAATTAGATCTACAGAGATATGGTGGCTTGGCTTATTAAGAGTCAAGGAATCAAGGTACCAAAAAATCTGGGATATGGCTGGGAAGGGTTAGAGATAGCTGCAGAAGCAGCTTTTGCACACTTCTTGCCCAGCTGTGGGGTTGGGGGAGGAGGGAGCAGACCTGAGAAATGAAAGGAAATAGGGGGTGGTGGGAGGATTTGAGGAAGGCTGGAGGGATGTGTAAGTTAAGAGCTCCCAGCACATTTCTTGATGCCCAGGTTCTGAGCCTAGGGTGGCCAGGCTTGGCCCCTCAGATGACCAAATACAAGCTTTAAGCTTCACACCATCTTGCCCACCTTTCCGCCTTCCTGCTGGACAATGGATACCAGCAACTCGGATGCGTGTGACCCTGGCAGAGGGCGCCTGGTCTGGGAAGCATCTGAGCACACTCCCCCTAATGGAATCAGAGACTGGGCAAAACAGAGTATGTGAACAGGGCAGCCTCAGCCTGCTCTCACCAGGGTCAACATCTCCCGGCCCTCACTGACCCTTTTTCCAGATTCACAACAAACGGAGGTGGGCTCTAGGACAGACCCCCTTATACACACAAACATACACTCTCTCGCACATCCACAGCTGCACCCATGCTATGTACAGGAACACACACACACACACACACACACACACTCTCTCTCTCTCTCCCCCACACACATACACATCAAGACCATTTTAAAAAAGTTCCAAACCTACCCCCTAAACCCTCCCTCTCCCAGAAATGACAACAGAGACGGCAGCCGAGATCGGTAGGAAACGTCTCGTTGACAGCTCAGAGCTTAAAAAAAAATATATACACATATATAAAAAACACTTCTGCCCCCTCCCCCATGAGCGGGTCCAGGCAGCTCCTTCCTGTGGGGGCAGGGGAGAGGGCCACCAGGGCAGCGCCTGTTTTCTCAAAGGCACCAGCCGTCCTCTCCCCACGTTCCCTGCCTCCAGTTCCAATGCAGAGGTCCAGGCGGCAGGCCCCTCTGGGAAGGAATGGGTCCTCCTCAAGCTTCCACCCCACCTTGGGTTGGGCTGCAGGTGTGGAGGGCCTCATCAAACTCTTTGGGACCCCCCACCCCCACTCTCCGGTCCATTGTCCATGCCGGAACCGCAAGTGCAGAAGTGGGTGGGGTGGGCTGGGCCAGGCCAGTGCTGGCTTAGTCTGATGGTTGCTGTCCCTGGAGGAGGACCCCCGAGGGCTGATGTCTCTGAGGCTGCAGAGTCCCGGCCTGGGCTCCTCCAGCCCCCTACCCCCACCGTATTTTTTTTTTTTAAAAAGAAAGAAAGAAAGTGGGGGAGGCCAGGGGGCAGGGGACAGTACATGGGGGAGAAACAAAGGTGGTCAGTTGGGGAGGGGAGCTCCGGGGCTCTCCCTGGCTGCCCTGGGGTGGGGCTGAGCCTCAGTTGGAGTCAGAGTCTGAGGAGTCTCCTGAGGAGGAGGAGCTGGAGCTGCTGCCCTCGGACTCATTGTCTTCATCCTCGTCATCATCCTCGTCGTCATCTTCGTCCTCGTCATCCTCCTCATTCTGGGGGATGAGAAAGGATGCACAGGGTCGCCAGGTGGCCCTCCTGGCAGGACTCCCCTCCCCTCCCACCGTGCCCCATCTGCCCCATGCTATGTACCTCGTCCCCATCCTCGCTCTCGTCTTCGCTGCTGGACTCGGAGGAGTCGCCACCATCTTCAGAGGAGTCCCCATTATCATCATCTTCCTCTTCTTCATCCTCATCCTCATCATCCTCATCCTCTTCATCATCCTCCTCGGACTCCTTGGATGGACAGAGGCACATCAGTGTTCTCTGGTCTCTGCCCAGCCACTTCAGGCAGCCCCCCCCACCCCCCACGCCCTCATATCTGGGGGGGTTCCTTACTGATTTGGACTGTAGAGTAGTCCGGCTGGATTTGGGGTTTGGGCCTCGCAGCTTGGTCATACTCTTACGTTTCTGCAGGATGGGGACATGCAGGTGGCAGCCATGAGTTCCAGACACCCCTGAATACCCCCCACCCCTACCCCACTGCTGCTCTGCTCCCAGACTCACATTGGAGATGTACTCTTTATATGCTGCACGGTCCTGGGGGGACAGGCTCTGGGGGAGATAGAGGTGGCAAGGGTTGGAACACAGCCAGCTACTGCTGACTGAGCATCCTGGCCCAGGGCTGGACAGTGGGCTGAGCATTTACATATCATCACCCCATCTCACCCTCCCAGGCTCCCTAGACTTTGGGTCTCTGCAGAAAGCCCCCCAGGCACTGAGAACACAGCTCCATTTTTTTTTTTTTTTTTAAAACAGGGTCTTGCTCTGTCACCCAGGCTGGAGTGCAGTGGCACAATCTCAGCTCACTGCAGCCTTGACCTTCCCAGGCTCAAGTGATCCTTTCAACTCAGCCTCCAGAGTAGCTGGGACTACAGGCATGTACCACCACACCAGGAGAACTTTAAATTTTTTGTACAGGCAGGGGTCTCGCTATGTTGCCTAGGATGGTCTTCAACTCCTGGCCTCAAGTGATCCTTCGCCCCTCAGCCTCCCAAAGTGCTGGGATTACACGCATGAGCCACTGCACTGGTCCAAGCTCTAATATTTCTGCTTTTGATGCCGAGTCCTTCTCTAAACATTCTCCCCATCACTCTACGCAAAAGGACATTCCCATCAGAGTCTTCCTCACTTCAAAGAAGTGCCCCTGTGATAAGTCAGCTTGGCATCATCAACCACACCCCAACACCAAACCCTTGAGCTACCAATGAGGCAGTGGAGCTCGCCAAACTCCTGAAACAGCAAATCCCCACAATCTTCCTGGGTTCTTGGCTAACCTGTCCTGGTGAGTGGGAAGGACACAGGTGATTCCCTCCACTTTACAGATCTGACTACTCAACCAAAGCACAGAGGGGAAGCATAAAGGCCTGTGGAGAGCCCTGTGGTACCGGATGGGGGAGGCAGTCTGATTTGGATTCTTCTACTTACTGTGTGACCTTGGGCAAGTTACTTAATCTCTCTGAACCTTGGTTTCCTTATTTTTAAAAGGGTGATGGTGGCCGGGTGCAGTGGCTTGAGCCTGTAATCCTAGTGCTTTGGGAGGCCAAGGTGGGCGGATCAGGAGTTTGAGACCAGCCTGGCCAACATAGTGAAAACCTGTCTCTACTAAAAATACAAAAATTAGCCGGGTGTGGTGGTATGCGCCTGTAGCCCCAGCTACTCAGGAAGCTGAGGAAGGAGAATTGCTTGAACCTGGGAGGTGGAGATTCCAGTGAGCCGAGATCACACCACTGCACTCCAGCCTAGGTGAAAGAGTGAGACTCTGTCTCAGAAGATAAAAGGGTAATAGTAATGGTTATCCTGCAGGACTGCGAGGGCACAGAATGAAATCATGAGACCAGCCAGCACGATGCCGCCTCTTCCTTCCAAGGGTCCCTTGCCCTCTTACCTTGACCCAGAGGTCCAGGTGCACCTTGTACTGCTTTTGCTGCTCCTCGGCTAGCTTTTTGTAGTGCTCCTTCTGGCTCTGTGAAATACGCTGCCAGCGGCTGCCGATCTCTACCATGCGTTCCTTCAGTGGCAGGTGGTTCAGCTCCCCATTGGACAGCAGCTCCTGGGAAAACTTCTGGTAACCGTTCCTGGGAGGTGGGGGTGATACAAGGACGGTCAGGACCCCAACAAAGCAGCCCTCCAGCCCTGACTCTCCCTCACCCAGAGGGCAGGCTCCAACCCCCAGGCTCACATGGGAGGCTTCTTGGGTTCTCCCTGGAATTTCATTTTCTTGGAAGAATTTGTAGCAGCTGGAGGTGCCCGCATCTCACTCAGCTCTCTCTGGAGGGAGAAAGGTCACACTCAACCCCAGTCCCAGCCCCAAAATACTGCTGCCTTCTGCCCCATGCCATCAGCACCTTGGCTGGCTGTTTTTTCTTTTCTTTTTCTTTTTTTTGAGACGGATTTTCACTCTTGTCACCCAGGCTGGAGTGCAATGGCGCAATCTCAGCTCACCGCAACCTCCGCCTCCTGGGTTCAGGCAATTCTCCTGCCTCAGCCTCCTGAGTAGCTGGGACTACAGACACGCGCCACCATGCCCAGCTAATTTTTTGTAGTTTTAGTAGAGACGGGGTTTCACCACATTGACCAGGATGGTCTCGATCTCTTGATCTTGTGATCCACCCGCCTCGGCCTCCCAAAGTGCTGGGATTACAGGCTTGAGCCACCGCGCCAGGCTTTTTTTTTTTTTTTTTTTGGGATGGAGTCTCGCTCTGTTGCCCAGGCTGGAGTGCAGCGGCGTGATCTTGGCTCACCGCAACCTCCGCCTCCCGGGTTCAAGTGACTCTCCTGCCTCAACCTCCCAGGTAGCTGGGATTACAGGTGCACGCCACCATGCCCGGCCTCTGTCTTTTCTGTGCCGGGGAGGAGAAGAAACAGGCACAGCTAGTGAGCAGCTTCCTAACAACTCAGGTCTGCGGCAGGCACCACAGTTTACAACTGTGCTCATGTCCCCTGAATCAACCTGGAGGCTAGCATTGTCACCCCCACCTTACTAAGAGACAGGGGTTCACAGAAGGAAGCTGAGCCTTGCTGAGGGTAACAGACCAAGGCTGGGCCTTCTGGCTCAGAGTTGCCCACCCAAAGGGGAGCTCCCAAGCTTTCAATGAATGGGGTGGCCCCAGCCCCATTACTACCTCGTATCGCTTTTGGTCTTCGGCTGCCTTCTTAATCCACATCAGTTTCTCCTTCTTCTCCATGTTATTCCAGGTCATTTCCATGGCTTTCAAGGCCTTCACCCGGTCATTCTGGGGAATGATAAGGGTATCAGCAGTGGGGTCACCTGGGGCTGGAGGCTGAAGTACTACCCTGTCCCACCCCTGTCACCTTGAAGCGGGCCAGGTAGTCGCCAATGACGCTCTGTTGCCAGATCTCTTCGGCTCTCTTGGGGGACTCAGGCAGCTTGCTCCGTTCCTCACGCTCCCCACCAGGCTTCCTCTCCGACTGTGCCTTGAGTGCCGCCTCCCGGGCCTTGTACTTGGCCTGCGGGGATGGCCGGGACGTCAGCCTTCCGTCCACCCCTAGGGGGCGCGCGCTCCCCGCGCAGCAGCCTAGGCGCACCCGCGGAGCGGGCCGAGCCCTGGGCTGGTGCAGATGTCTCCCACCCAGAGCTCGCCCCCACCTGGCCCGCGGCGCTCAGCTGACAGCTTCCCGCCTTCCGGCTGCTGGGCGCCGGCCCCACGTCCCAGCCCAGGCATCGCGAGGCCCAGACGGCCAGGTGGCGCGGACCGCCGAGGGGAAGAGGGGCCCTGGCAGCCCCCCTGAGGGCAGCGGCTCTCCGCCAGGCAGCCTGACCTTCTTCTTCTCAGACAGGTCGTTCCACATTCGGGCCAGCAGGCGGGTCAGTTCGCTCTCCGAGAGCTCAGGCCGCTCCTCCTGCAGCTGCCGCCGCTTCTCCTCGGAGAAGATGAACATGGCCGAAACGGGCCGCTTGGGCTTCTCGGAGCCGCCCTGTCCAGGTGAAGAGGGTCAGGGTCTGTGGGTGCTGCCAGCGAGCCCAGTCTTACCCACCCTGGCCTGCGTGGCCGCGCCCCCTGCCCACCTTGCCCCCTTCCTGGGCTGGCTTCTTGGAGGCGGGGCTGGTGGCTGGCTTCTTGTTGATGTTCAGCATCTTCTCCTCCCCCAGGACCCGCTGCTGCTCCTCCTCAGGCAGGCTCTGGGCAGGAGAGAAGAGCATGGGGCTGCACGGCTGGCACCATGCCCTATAGGACTGCACGGTGCCCTATCCCCATGGGCTCACGAGGGCTCTGCCTGCCAAGCCCCAGTCCTCTCTGCCCAGTGCCCTACCGGAGGAACACTCACCTCGAGGAAACGGAGCAGCTCCACCTCGTAATCTTTCTTTTTCTGGGAAAGTGAGTGGAGTCAGGATCAGTCTGGAGACAGCGTCACCAGAGACCCTGCAGTACTCGGAGGACAGTGACCTTCAGTGGGCCTCCAGAGCCTGGGTGTGGGCTGGACTCCCTGCCTGGACCGGCTCAGCTCTAAGCCCAGCCCAGCCCAGCCCAACACCGAACTGGAAGCAGGTATCTGAGGTATATGCCACCAAGAACTGACTGGCCCAAGCTGGGGTCAGACCTCATGCTTCAAAACCCCAAGGCAGGACGGCCCCTGCCACAGCTCACCTGGTCACACTTCTTGTGATAGGCATCCTTCTCCTTCTGGGACAGCAGCTTCCACTGCTGGCTGCACAGCACCATGCGCTCTGTGCTGGGCACGTCCTTCATGTTGGCCATGAGCTCTGCGCAGTACAGCGAGTAGCTGTTCCTATCAGAGCGGTGGGGACAGAGGGGCAGCCTGTGAGCGAGCAGGGCAGCAGGCCTCCTCGCCCAGAGTCCGGCCCCACTCCCTAGCTGCCCACTCGCCCACCCACCCCAGGGCAGCGCTCACGGAGGTGGCTTGGTGGGTCGCCCATCAAACTTGTCCTTGAGCTGGCGTTCAGCCTTGGTGAGGGTGGACTTGGTGATACCCTCCTCACTGATGTTCAGCTCGGGGTGCTTCTGGATATAGTCTCTCATGATCTCCTGCAGAGCCAGGTGGGGGGACGGAGGGCAACGTGGTGTGGAGTTAGCTGGGGCAGGGGCAGGGGGAGAGCCGCTGGGGAGGGCAGGCAGGGAGCAAAGCTGGGGGTGGCTGTGCGTCAGCAGTGTCACACGAGACGTGGTGCCCTGCCCTGCCCTAGCCTGAGATCTCATGGGGCTGGGGGGTGGGGAAGGTAGGGGCAGAGGTGAGGGGCCCAGAAGGCCCCTCCCTCAACAGAGGAATGGGGAGTGACACCTTCCGCAGAGTGCGGTGGCCACGGAGTCGGAGGGCAGAGGCTCGTGAAGAGCCGGACGGGGAGGAGCGCAGCGGAAGCCTAACCTCGTACTCCTTCCGCTGCTCCAGGGCCTTATGAATCCATTTCAGCCTCTTTTTGTCCGAGAGCTGAGACCACTGCTTCCCCAGGGAGTCCTTCACCTCCTTCGTAGTGGCCTGCAAACCAAAAGCCGTCAGACACGCACAAGCAGCCAGGAGTGGGGGCGGGGGAGGGGGGAAGGGGGCACAGAGGCCCCCGCCCCCTCAGGCCATGGGAGGTCACATCAGTGTCCCCCACAGGCCAGGAGGGGAAGGTGGAGAGGCGGGGATCCCGCCTGGGTGCAAGGGGACTGGCTCACACACACACACACGCACGCACACGCTCGCACGCCAGCTGGCCCAGGCCCTGTCCATGCAGCCCACCCTTGGGGAGGGGCCTCCTCTCCTGCTCCCCTGCACCATGCCCAGCCGACCTAGCGCGGCTCCCCCCTGGCCACCACCGTGCATCCTCCACCCCCAACCCTTGGCCGGACACTCACATCTGGCCGCACTTTGAGATACACTTTCTTCTCGTGGGTGTACCACAGCTGCTGGGGGGTTTTGGGCTTCTCTGGGATGTCCGATTTCTTGGCATTCTGGATTAGGTCAGGGTGATCCTCCCTAGCCAGGACATGGGGAGCAAGGATCAGCAGGGGACGCTGCCAGGGCAGACCCAAGCTAGCTGCCCCACCCACCAAGCCTCCTTGGCCTTTCAGCTGGGGCTCAGTGGGACGGTGGCTGCCTGCCTGTCTCTGCCTGTGAGCCTGACACACTAGGGCTCACATGTGACCCATCCTTCTTCCATGCCTCAGAGATGGCAAACTCCAGGCTCCGGCCAGGGTTAGCCTATTCAGCTGCACCCAGTGCCCCGTGGCCCTCCTCTGGGCTCACTGCCTTACCTGAATCGGGCCAGGTTTCGCTCGAACTCCTGTTTCTCCCTCTGGAAGTCCTGAATATATTTCATCTGGGGGGAGGAGGGGACGGGGTCACCCAGGACCCAAGGGTATCTCACCCTGAGCTATGAAAGCCACCCAGACCCCTCCTCGTGGGCTCTCTGCGGCCTCCTACGCTGTGGTGCAGAGGTGGAGGCTGGCGCCCTGCCCACCTCTCCTGCGGGACTCATCACAGAACAGACCTGCTGGCTTCTACCACAGATGGTGGGAGCTGCAGGGGTCACCCAGATATTGAATCCTACATCCTATTCTCTCCTTGCAAGGGAGAGTCACAGAAGGGGGCTGTGGCATTACCCACAGTCATGCAGTGCGCAGTGGCAGTGCTTGCGCTCCCCAACCCGTTTCTCCACCACCACAGAATCATCAGTGGAGTCAGGTGCAGGCCCCGCCCCCGTCACTCTCTCTTCTCATTGTCTGTGGCAGCTGACATTAACCTGTACCCCTGGAGGTGGCCTCTACATAGGACCAGGGCTGGGCTGAGTCCTGTTTCCAAGGTATGAGGGGAGACTACTGTGTGGAGGGAAACCCAGAGTTCTTACAATACAAGCCACGGCCAGCTGCCCTGCACCTTCCCGTCCAGTTCTGACACCATCACCTTCCTCCCTTTCTCCAGCTGTCTGGCTTCTCCAGCCCTCCCTCCCTCAGCCCACTCATTCTCTCCTACCACTTGGCTTCCCTTCATCACCCCCTTTTCAGCCTCACCCCGCCTTCCACCCCCACCTCCCTCCCTCCCTGCATCCTTCCCCACCTCTCCACGGCCTCCCTCTTGTAATCTGTCTCTTTCTCTTCCATATCTACCTCCTCTTTTGGCTCCCACACAATGTCCATCTCTTCTTTTGTCTTCACAGGCTCACAAGAGTGGCACTGGAAGGTGCCAGGCGCTCATGGCAATTGAGCCCAACCCCTGCCTCTTAGAGAAGCACCAGGCATAGAGAGGCAGCACTGCTTTCCCTCAGTTCTCACAGAAAACCAGAAGCAGAGCTCAGCTTCCTCTTCCCCAAGCTCAGTCCTCCTCAGACAAAATAGTTTCAGAGCTGGAGGGCACCACACAGACCTGGCTCACCTCACATAAAGACCAGGCCAGAGAAGTGGAGTGACTTACCAAAGTCCCCTTACACAGCAAGTTCAGAGCCAGGAGAACAGGCCCAAGTCTTGTGTCCCCCAGGCCAGCACCTTGTCCACTCTCCCAGTTTCTTCTGGCCTTCCCTGGCTCTCAGACTCTTGGCCTCTCCCTCCCATCCCATGAGAGTGTTTGGGTGTGTGCAGTCAACTGTCCAACATCCTCATCAAAGGGGCCAACAACAGTTCCAGCCCTCCATACCCCTGCTCCGCTTGGGCAGTGGTTGCAGACAGCTGGCTTCTTTTTTGGGTACAGCACCAAGTACATGTGAGTCCGCAGCCAGGGTATGCCAACCAGGAAAGAGGGCTACTCACAGCGTGGTGGCGGCCAGCGTCACCTTTTGGGAACTGGCTGCGTATGACTTTGTTTCCTTGCCAAGCAGATGTGCTTCTTGTCTTTCCCGCTCCCATTCCCCATCTATCCCTGGCTGTCTCCTCGTCCAGCGTCTCCTCCTTGGGTCCTCTTTCCCCATCCCATCTTTCTCGTGTCCTATCTGCAGGCTCCTCTGGCGTTTTGCTGCGTATCTCTAGGAGGGACCTCCTGAGCTCTGTGTGTGACTGCTTCTAGCCCTGCCTGGGAGGCTTGGACAACCCCCTGCCCAGGGTTAATGCTTTGATGGTCTGAGACAGTGCCCGACCTCTGCAAGGAACAGCATGAGGCCAGGAGGGACAACGTGTGTCCTTGAGTGAACATGTGCGTGTGGAGAGGAGGTATACTTCACAGGTGGATGTGGCAGTAAGAGCACTGGCTGGGACTCTGGGACACTATCCTGCTCTAGCATCAACAGTTGTGTCACTCGGGACACTTAACCTTCCTGCACACAAAACTGCGATAACCTTTTCCTGGGGTTACCTTTACGAAGACACTGCAAGTATCAAATGAGACCATGACGGGAAGTGTCACAGAGAGGGAAGAAGTGCTGTGCAGCCTGACAGTGAGGATGGGTGGATGGGGGGAGAGCCTTACGAAACAAAACACTGTGGGTTTTCTACAGGGGGAAAGCTTGGCCTGAGCACCTGCTGTCTGGTTTACATCTGTGACGGTGCCTGTGCCTGACCATTTGTGGGCTGCGGAAGGCGCAATCAGGTGTGGCTGCCCAGGACCTACTCTGCCGTGCTGACTCACCCGTCCCCGATGCGAGGTCCCTCCAAGGCCAACCTCCAACTGACCCATACCACCCCAGCTGCTCCCAGCCTCTCCCCTCCTCCCACCTTAGCTCTCCTCCCCCCACCTTCTTCTTCTCCGGAAGCTCCTTGTATTTCTTGGACAGAATCTTGGTTAGGTCCAGGTTGCTCATCTCAGGGTGGAGTTTCGCATACTTGGCCCGCTTCTCCATGAAGAAGCGGAAATAAGGGGTCAGGGGCTTCTTTGGGAAGTCTGGGTGTTTCTGGAAGGAGGGACAAGGACACAATGGAGGTCATATACCATCTGTTCTTTGTACCTTTCCTCCCCTACCCCTCATGCACCTCTTCCTAGTAACTCACCTTGAGTTTTTTGCCTTTGTAAGGATTTTTCACATGTTCCTGAGCATCAAGGATCAATTCTGTCAATGTACGGAACTTCCTCACCTGGAGGAAGAGGGGAAGAAAGGAGAGGAAGTTGAGAAAAGGAAAATGCCACACAGTACAGTAGCATATCCCTATCTTACCACGGGTACCCCCATCTTGCAATGGGTCTCTTCTACTCTTCACTAGACTAAATTTACCAAAGAGCAGAGGCCAACAGCCAATGAAGCCGGCAGCACTGGCCCATGCCTACTGCAGAGGCCCAGGCAGTCAGTGCACACCAAAGGCCAGCAACAAGGGGACTACATGACCTCTACCTGGCTATCCATGCCAGCACCTCCTTCAATCTCAGCACAGCTCAGGCTGTTCGGCTCAAGACCGAGAGAAAGTGGCGTAACTCTAAGCCAGTGCTGTCAACCACACCACCTCCCAAAGTGCACAAGGGCAGGTAGAGAGCTAACAGGCGACCACACGAACACCTCTCCTGGTCTCTTTCCTTCCTGTTTACAGCCAGCTGTTTCACTTCCACCCACCACAGCTGAGGTGGGTGTACGTGGAGATGTGTATACATGTGTGTCAGGAAGGGGATCAGTTACCTCGTTAGAAATCTCCACCCATTTGAGCTTGCACATGTCTCCAGAAAAGTCCTTAAATGCTACTTTTTCCCAGTCCATATGTGATTCAGTGGTTTTGAACTTGGAGCTGTCATTGGATGGAAGATTGTTCTTCATGCATTCCAGCAAAGTCAGCATGTCTTCCTGGGACCAGCGGTCTGGTGAAAGGTAACAGAGGCCATCGTGCCTGGTTCATGCTATCCCCCTATTCTGTTACCCAGTTATTGAGTGCTCAACCCTTTTCCCCTAGGAAATCCCAGCCCCTGGTTGCTTCCCATCTGAAGGCAGAGATGAAACATAACTCAGCTCTAAGGGAACTGTGGCCATATTGGATCAGGGCAGGGACTCCAGTCCAGAGCATGCCATACCTAGAAAAACCCCGTCTCTACTAAAATCCCAAAAATTAGCCAGGTGTGGTGGCACGCGCCTGTAATCCCAGCTACTCTTGAGTCTGAGGCAGGAGAATCGCTTGAACCCGGGAGATGTAGGTTGCAGTGAGTGGAGATGGTGCCATTGCACTCCAGCGTGGGCAACAAGAATGAAACTCCGTTAAAAAAAAAAAAAAAAAGCAAGGCTCGAACACAAGTCTGGCTTGCTTCAAAGCTATTATCATTTCTCCCGTGCCAGGCTGCTACCAGCAGCTATTTATTGTAAGGGAAGAGGAGTGGAAATGAAGGTATAGAGATTCAGGGCTTTGTGGGAAACAGGTAGCTTGTCGGAGAAGGAGGGAAGCAGGGAGGCAATATATCTAAATGTGTGGTTAAGTTCAAGTTCTGAGTTTAGGATACCTTAAATGTGCAAGGACTGAGAATGGGGTGTGGGCAGTAAGGAAAACCCATGCAGATGTCTTTCCTGTACAGATGGAAACCAGTGTTAGAGACCCTCCAGCCCCTGGCCCCTCAGTGTAGATCAAGGAAGAATTTCTGGCAAACAAGAAAAAAGGAACAGAAACAGAAGCAGCACACAGAGCAGCTCTGAGGTAAGGTAGGCAGGTGCACAAAAGCTCTCAGGGCCCTGCTCCAAGGAGAACCCCCAGAATAACAAGCTGTCTTGTCAGCCCAACTCCCCAGGGAAGCAAGACCAGGTCTGGACTAGCTATTTTCAGCTATGGAAATGCAGATCCAGAGAGAGCTCTAGGTTTCTGTGGATGGGCTGGGAGAATAGCCACCCGAGGCCAGAAATCAAAAGGGCTCCTCTCCATTTTCATTTGCATCTCCTAACCTGGGCCAGGGTTTCTGCAGAGCAGGTCACATGGACCAATAATCCCCTCTCCCCTCAATGTCCCACAAGCATGGTCAGCTGCCCAGCTTCATCTTACCCTCCACCCCCATACAGACTTGGTCACTGCTGAATGAGACAGAGGTCTAGGTGAGTACACACAGCCCATGACTTGGGGCCATAAAACACCACTTTTCTCCACCTACCTCTATAAAAGCCTCATCGTCTTAATAAAAAGCCTGAGACGACTTCTCCAACCCCTTCCTCTACACTCATTCTTCCTCCCATTCCAGGACATTGGGCCGGGACACACTTCAGGCTAAATGGGAACCCTAGAAGGCATGCCTCCTCAAACACAGGGGGCGAGGGACAGGAGAGGTGAGCCATTCCAGACCAAATAATTTGGATTCAACCACACCTCAAGTGTGGGAGATGCTTGATTCATAAATACTTAAGGCACTTTCTTGCCCAGTTCAGAGTATGGAGAAGCCCTTAAGAAGGGAGCGAGCCCCGCAGCCATGAGAAAAAGAGGATTTAATTTTCAGAGGGCTGGGGGTGAATGCCCCTACCTTGGCCTTTGGGGGCGGCCATTTCCAGGTCTGTGGGGCAGTCGGCTTCTCCGTTCATCCTCCAGCTGTCCAGCCACCTCCTTGGTCGTGCTGGCCGGGCAACCCGGGGTCAAAACCACCTCACCCTTTGGAAGACATACCAGTTCCCACTCAGGCAGGCTGAGAGATGAATGATTTTCTATCCCTCCCCGCCCAGAGTGGAGGGGGACAGGTCCACACTCTCAGAGTCCCAACCATGACCTTACTGGACTTAAAGGGTCTGTGGGAGTGGGAGTGAGCCCCTCCTCTGCTTCCTGACCCATCCCCCAACCCTTGCAGCCCAGCTCCGCGGCGCGCGCCCTTCTCTGCCCACGCGAGAGCCTGCTCCCAGCTCCCGCGTGCAGCAAGCGCCCGCCCTCCGCCCTCCTTCCCCAACCCCGGCCAAAAAAAAAAAAAAACTCCTCCTCCTCTGCGCGCCCGCCCCGGGGAGGCCCCAGGCTGGAGGGCGGGGGAGGAGGAAGGGCGGGTAAAGGGCGCGCGCGGCCACGGACGCGGGCACGCGCCCCAGTCTCCTCCTCCCGCCTCCCCCCGGCCGGTTCCCCCCGCCTCCGCAACCCGGCGGGGACCCGGACGCAGCGCAGCCGCCGCCAGCCCCGGAGCGCAGCGGCCGCACCGCCCCCGGGGACCGGATCCGGATTCCCACCGCTCCCCCCTCCCGGGCTCTCATCGCCTTCCCCGCCCGCCCAGGCGGGCGAGCAGCTGGAGAGAAGCGGCCTAGCCTGCCCCCCGCCCCGAGCCACCTACCCCGGCCAGAGGCGCCGCCGCCGCCCAGCCACCCCGACTCGCACGGAGGAGCCCGGCGCAGAGGCGCGATCGCGGCGGGAACCGCCGCCTCCTCCCCCGAGCCTGCGGCCCAGCCCCGCCGGCGCCCCCGCCCTGGCCTCCGGGGAGCCGAGCCAAGCAGAGGGCGGGAGGACGGCGGCCGGGAGGCGGGGGCGCAGCGCTCACCGGCCCCGCCGCCCCCTCCGGCGGCCGGGGAGAACTGCGCCTGCCGGCTCCGAGAAGCGCGGGCTCCTCCGCCAGCGGCCGGGGCTCGGCTCGGGCCTCGCTTCCTGCCCTCCCCTCCCCCGGCTTTCGGCGTCCTCCCCAGTGCCCTGGTCTGCTCGCGCCCGGTTCCCTGCTCGGAGGTCGCTCCGGGTCCCAGCCGGGCGCCCACCGCACCCCGCGGTTTGCTCCCTGCCGTCAGGCCTCGACCCCAGCGCGCGTCCTCAGCCGCCTCGGTTACCCGGCGCAGCGCGGCCTCCGGGCTTCCCGCTCCGGCGGCTCCCTCCCCGGCTCTGAGCAGCGGCGCCCTCCCCCGCTCGGCCGGGCACAGCCGCAGCTCCCTCCCGCGGCGGCAGCGGCTCCTCCTCCGGGCGAGGCGGCGGCGCTGGGGCGGCGGCTGCTGCTGCTGTGGCGGCGGCGGCGGCTGTGGCTGCTGCCTGCTGCTCCTCGCGGCGAAAAGCACAAAGCACAGCGCCCTCCGCCTGCAGGCAGCCCGCCCGCCGCCGGCCCCGGCCTCAGCTCGCACACCCCCCGCCGCCGCCGCAGCCTCAGCCGCCGGAGCGGGGAGGAGGAGGGAGAAGGGAGGAGGAGGAGCGGGAGGGGGGGCGGGAGAAGCGGGGCAGCGAGCGCGTCCTTCCCCGTAGAGCGCACACCGACCCCCGGGGAGCGAGCGCCAGCCCGCCCGCCTCGCCGGCTCCGCTCCCTCCCACAGCCTGCCCGGGCGGGCTCCGCGGGGGGCAGCTGGGAGGAGGGGCGGGAGCTGGGGGGACCCGGGCGGCCGAGGCGGAGGGAAGGAAGGAGGGGAGGGGGGTGGTGGTGGTGGTGGTGGTGGTGGTGGCGGCGGCGGCAGCGGCTGCTGCTGCTGCCGCCGCCGCCGCCGGGGAAGGGGGGGGGCCGGGGCAGGGAGACACGCAGCCGCCCGGATGGCGGCGGGGCTCGGAGCCGAGGCGGGCGGGCGGGCGGGCGGGCGCCGAGAGCGACCTCGCCAGACCCGCGGGGGAACTAACATGCTCCGCCGGCACTGGAGGGAGGACCGAGGTGCGGCGGCGGAGAGGGTGCCCAAAGGGGCCCCCGGCGGCTGGAGAGGCTCGGGGGACGCCCACAGCTCTGCTCCGGAGCTCTCCCCCAAGTCCTCCCAGCTCAGACTAGGGCTTCCAGGCCAGCTTTCTCCCGCCTCCCGGAGCGAGCGGTCCGCGCCCACCCTCATCCCCCGGAGCGTGGCCACTGGCTTGGGGCGCACGCACGCCGATCGCGGCGCCCGGCTTCAGTGCCTACCTCGCGGTCCTCTCACTGCCGAACGGCACATACAAAACTTAAAAAAAAACCAAAAAAACTAAAACTAAAACCTCTGCATTTAAAAAAAAAATCCCCATTGCTCTTTACACCCCGGAAACGGCGAGAGAACGACGGGCTTCGGCGGAGGAGCCGCTCTGGGAGCCGGTTCAATCCAGCCCGGCATGGCTCCCCAGGCCTGCCCGGGCGCATGGAGATCGGCGCCGCCGCCACTCGTAGCGACCCCTCTCCCCCGAAATCCGCGGTGCCTGGGCTCACTTACCGAGCGTGTGGATGGGAGCGCGGGCCGGGGGCACCTGGGGGCGCGGCGGGCCGAATAGTCGAGCCGCAGCTCTGCTGCAGCCGACGCCGGGGCAGCAAGTCGCCAGACAAAGCCCGAGATGGCGAAGCGGAGCGACGGCTAATGGCGAGCCCCACGCGCCGCGCTCCGCCCGCCCCGCTCCGCCCGCCCGCCCGCCCGCCTCGGCGCAGCGCAGCGCCGCTCCAAGCGCTTGCCCGTCAGAGCCGCCTCGGCGCCGCCGCCTCCCGGGCCACCGCGGCCTCGCCTGGCCCCTCCGCCTCCTCCGGGCTGCTCAGCCTCACCCCTTCCCTCCCACTGCTCTAGGGGTTGCACAGAAATTTTTTTAAGAAAAATGCTTTCTTCCTTTTCCTTTTTTTTTTTTTTTTTTTTCCTTTTTTGCAGGGCGGGCGTGTTGAGACTTTTGGATCTTTCTGCCCCCAGCTCCCACTCACCTGCGGAGCCGCCGCGAGGGCTAGGGGTGGGGGGGCGCGCGGAGCTGGAGCCGGCGAGCGCGGGTTGAAAGCCAGCCAAGCTCTGCAGCGCCCGACCCGGGCGTGTACGCCGCCGCCAGTCCCCGCAGAGAAATCGTCCTCCTACCCCCGCCTCCATCGCTCTGCGTTTCTCTTCCAATCAGCCGGTCGCTTGGTGGCTCCTCCATTCTCCGGCCAAGCCCAGCTGCCTAGAGCGAGCTCCACTCCTCCATCTGTTCGCCCGGCTCCTCGCTCCCCTGCCGGGGCCGGCGAGACGGCGTGAGGCCGGAGGGGGATTTGCGAGAAAACCTGCCTGCTTCCCGCTCCCATTGCTCCATCCCCGCTGCCTCCTGCTTCTCTCCTGCGTCTTTCCAACTCTCTCCCTTGTCGCCACTGGTGTGTGTCTGAGTGTGTGAGCGTTTTTTTTTTTTTTTTTTTTTTTTTTTTTTTTTTTTTTGCTCTTTGCTTTTGCAACCCAGAAGCAAAAGACGGGGGGGAGTTACAGGGAAAAAAAAAGCGAGAAAGAAGCTCTTAGATTTGCAACACATCGGAAAACCAGGGGAGCACCCCGCCTTATCCGATCTCCGTGCTCTGCGAGGGCCTTCCGGGTTTTGGGACGAGCGTCTCAATGTTCCCCTCTTCTCTGGGTTTAGGATCCGAGGAGTCCGAGCAAAAAGTTCTCCCCCTGGGTCGTAGTGAGGGGTGTCAGGGTGGGAGTTTCGGGATTTTTCAAGAAGCAGCGGCTATCCTTCCTACCCCGGCATCGGCCACTGGGCCGGGGTGGGGGAAAGAGCAAAATCCCAGTGGGTTTGTGCGAGGAATCTTCTGGGGTTGGGGCGTGGGGTAGTCGGAATCGGGAGAGACACCGCTTCGCGAATCTCCCCTTCGGTCTCTACCTCCTGTCCTCTGCCAGCTCCCCCTTTAATTTTTTTCCTCTCCTTTAATCTAATTTCTTCCAACTCCACCTTTGTTGTTACCGGCGTCACGCCCGGACCAGCCAATCCCTGCCACGCAATCAGTTTGTCAAAAAGGTTCGGCCAGCCCTGGGAAAGCAGGCCGCAGGCGCTGCCCCCCGGCGGCGGCTGGCAGCCGCGAGGGGAGCTCGGCACCCCGACCTCGCTGCCCCGGCGGCAGCGGGGCAGCCTCCACCGAGACCTCCCCCAGTTCACTATCCTGCAGGCCGGTGATGAAAGGCTTGGACGGGGTCCACCGCCCATCCTTGCACTGCCATGGCCGTGGTTGTCTGTCTTTGCCTCCCCTTCTCAGAGGAAAGGTTATCAGGACAGGACGCAGGGAGCCAGAGACCGTCTGAAGGAAGCCTGCTTCCAACAGGCCCAGCCTCCAGCCTGGGTCACAGCTCCTGGGGCAGCGCCATTGCTCCTGGCTCTCAGGCTACCAGTCTCCCACACCGACACTCTACTGCCCGCATCTCAGCCAGCTAGGTCACCCAGCCCCTTTCTACTCTCCCCTGGCACGCAGCCTTCTTCACTCGGCCTGCCTCTCTGCTGCTGTAATTCCTCTTGTCTCCTGGGAGAAATGATATTCCTTTCCCAGGACTTCCACATCCCCCTTCTGTCACGTTTCACAAACAGGAAGGAAACACTGTCAAGATATGGTGTGTCCTGTTCTTTTCTTTCTTTCTTTCTTTTTTTTTTTTTTTTTTTGAGGGCATTGGCATGTAGAAGAATCGGATATACCACTAGATGCTAATGAAATTTCAGCTTCTAGGCCCCTCACTTGCAGGGCCTGGTGAAGACCCTGAACTGAATTTTGTTTTCATCATATGGCATTTTTTTTTGTCAAAGAGCCACCGACCACCTCCACCTCACCAAGGAATTGCACATGTTTCTGCCCTTACAAACCCAGATTGGCCCTTGGAACACACACAGGGCAATTTGTGCAGATTCACACTGGGCTAAAAGTGAGGCTTGGTGGGCCAGGCTCACACCTGTAATCCCAGCACTTTAGGAGACCGAGGCGAGAGGATCACTTGAGCCCAGGAGTTTGAGATCAGCTTAGACAACATAGCAAGACCCTGCCTCTACAGACACACACACACACCCTATTATAATATGTAGAAAAAAGGAAAAGTGAGGCGTAACAGTGATTTTATTGTTTTGAGTAGGAAAGAGCAAAAGGTTTAGAATCAAAAGTCCCAGCTTTACCTCTTCTTAATAGTGTGTGAATCTGAGTGTTGTTATTATTTTTTTTTGAGATGGATTTCATCATGTTGGGCAGGCTGGTCTCAAACTCCTGACCTCAGGTGATCCACCCGCCTTGGCTTCCCAAAGTGCTGGGATTACAGGCATGAGCCACCATGCCCGGCCTCTGAGTGTCTTATTAACCTTGCCTGATCTCAGTTTCCATATCTGTAAAGTTAGAATAGCAATCCTATTTATTTTGCTTCTCTCACCAAGGATGAAGGTCAAATGAGATGATGTACGTAAAACTTGAAATCCTCTGCAGATGGCATTACAGTGAGAGAACCTGGGACCCCCCAAGAACGTTCCTAATCTTCCACATGCAGATCTGGAGTCCAGGTGTCCTGGCTCCTAGCCCTGAGCATTTTGTCTGGGCCAAGGGGCTTTTCGGTAAAGTGCTTTGGAATAAAACAGGATGAACATGAATCATAAGAATGAGTATTATTGATTCCTTGGGAAGCAAAAATTATGGCTGGCACCCTTCCCACTTGGACACCAATTGGCTTGTTTTACATCAATTTTGTCTGTGGTGAGGTCAGGAGTCCAAGACTTGGGCGAAGGGCCAGAGTGTGAGGGAATCTGCCCTTGGCCCTTTTTCTTTGCCCCCTTTCCCAGTTCATCTCCCTCCCCGCCCTCCAGGCTTCTGGCATGTGCCTTGAAGCAGAGCACTGGCATTCAATAACCCCAGCCCAGGCTGGTGACAAAGCAGGATCCTAGCTACACAATTTCCACTTGGCCTCAGCATTTCTCCAGGTTGCCAGCATCCAAGCACCAGCTTATATAAAACCCCCAGAGTGCCTGGAATGCATTAACCAAAGTGTGGTACTTAAATTCTTGGTCTACAGGGAGTAATTTTAAATGGTATACCAATATTTTCAGATTTATATATTTTAATGTATATTGGAAATGTTCTGCTTTAAAATTTTTATTTAAGATGATATAAAGTCACACATTTTGGGGGCAAGAATGTTACTGTCCCTTGTTATTTTTTTGTTGCTGCAGAAGTTAAAGTACCACTTTAAGTATACAACTTTTTTTTTTTTTTGAGACATAGTTTCACTCTTGTTGTCCAGGTTGGAGTGCAATGGCGTGTTCTCGGCTCACTGCAACCTCCACCTCCCCAGTTCAAACAATTTATCTTGGCTGGGCGCGGTGGCTCAAGCCTGTAATCCCAGCACTTTGGGAGGCCGAGGCGGGTGGATCATGAGGTCAAGAGATCGAGACCATCCTGGTCAACATGGTGAAACCCCGTCTCTACTAAAAAAAAAATACAAAAAATCAGCTGGGCATGGTAGCGTGTGCCTGTAATCCCAGCTACTGGGGAGGCTGAGGCAGGAGAATTGCCTGAACCCGGGAGACGGAGGTTGCGGTGAGCCGAGATCGCGCCATTGCACTCCAGCCTGGGTAACAAGAG